TGGGACTCCGATGAAATTACTGACTGAAGATGACCAAGGTACTGATGCAAGAGATCGGAAGTTGCCCTTTTCAGGTCTTTTGACATCAAAATGAATGCCGTGGTGACTTTCTCAGGATTTCTAATACCGAGTGAGCCACTCATTCAGCAAATACTTTTGGATAAATCTGATGTGCAGGGAATTATTTAGAACTCTGAGTGAAATTTTGGCTATGAAATTGAGAGCAGGTCATAACAGGGTTCCTGTGATTGACACTATGATATGCTGCTCACCTATATCATCATCCTAGAGGTTTCACACCAACTTTGAGGGATAAAATCTTCCCAAGATCAGCAAACAAATCCTGAAATCTGTTTGGTCCCTGGACCAGGAGCAGAACAATCCAGCACAAGTCTGAAATTTAGTTTCTGGTTTGCCATCTCCAAAGTCTGTTCTCTTAATTATGCTGCCTCTGCCATGCTTGTAACTGTTAGCAGCCATAAATCCACCCCTATCTGCTAGACTCAGTAAATTTTAAAATGGAAAATCATTTTTCTAGTAAAACTATACTGAGAAAAACGATGTTAATGTTCATACATTCTATCCTCATTATGACATCAACCTCAGAGTCAAACTATTCTGCAGGTTATAAAGAGCTGTTTTAATGATGAATGGGAATTATATTGGCATTTTAATTGAGTTAGAAACCAAGGTACATGAATGTTAGTGCACAAGAATGCAATAAAAAAAAGCTGTTCAATGCGATTGTAATATATCAGATCAATTTAATACCACCTTTAAATAGTTGACATCCATGCATTTAAATACGTTTTATCAAATTGCCAGGTGAAATATTTATATGCATATGTATGTATGTATGTATACACACATTTTACCTTTCTAAAAATCTTTTCCTTTTAATTAGTTTCTTATCACATTTTTAACATATCTCGTGTTTGGAACAGTTGGATTTTAAGTATGTGATCAAAATTCTTTCTCTGCTATAGCAATGGAATAGTTCATTTATTTTCAAATATGGCAATTTAGGAGGTTAACATCTATTGGGATAAAATTATGTAAACTGAAAAAAATCACTTTCTACAAGAAGGATTTTGATGGAAATATTGGTTCAATTTCCACCTTACTTACTTGCTTTCATTCATTCTAGTTCAGATTTATTCATCTTAAAAAAGAAATTTAATTCACATGTCCGTAAAATTAGTACGTGCATTTATTTGATTTTGTATTTAGCAAATTAAAGAAAACCTATTTTCATTTAAGGCTTGTAGTTTCCTTAAGGTCAAAGCTCCATCTTAGAGAAACAATATAGTATTTAAATTATTCAATCAAATTGGAGACCTCGAAACAAGTGAAGACTGTAAGTTTCCTGAAAGCATGATGTCCTATATTTTGTCCTTTTCTAAATCAATGAAAAGATAGAATTATAGTGTAAGAGTTACTGTATAGTCGTTTAAAACATAATTGGAGTGACTGTTTTGAGGAATTAATTTGCCCAAATCGTGTTGTGGTTTAGCACACTACAACACTGACATTGTCATGTGTGCATGAAAGCGTTCTGTCAATTACGCTTGACTGTGAATGAATCTGAGGGTTCCTTTGTTATAAATTACTATTTCCTAAAATGCTTTTGCAGAGAGGCAATAAAACATTCAGATTCAGAATATTTGAAGAGCCAGTCTTGCCAGTGGTTGATTTTGAGCCAGGCCAAAATAAGTAAGTGCTTGTAAGACAAAGTCAAGCTGAAGACACCCATTTGCTGTTACTTAATTTTCCTCCTACTGAACTTCGGTTCCTGCTTCTGCCACCGCTCAATCACCTGATAGCAGCACAGTGTGACAGCTGTCTGGCCACGCTGAAGATAGCCACTTGAACTTCTGCAGAAAGAGTCTCTTAGGGCCACTACTGCTCCACTGGCATGGGTGCATGCAGCAGTAACATAAAAACTCCTCTTTTTGCAGCTGCAGGCAAGTCCCAGATTCCCCACATAGAGTCACGTGAGAAGATGTGCCTGCAAAGGCAAAGGGAAGAGGCAAAAGGCATTGCATGTACTTATAGCTTGAAGCTAGAGCAGGTTATGAGACATTTCCAGGTGTGCTGGGTGAACCTACTGAGGGCTTCTTTTGCTGTAGCTAATTACCAGGCAGAGACTGCTGCTCATCGTTTCGGCAGGAGTTCCCAGGAGCTTCCACTGGCTCCTTCATTTCTCTTTCAGAAAGACTTAAGAGAAGATGATCCCACGAGAGCTTCGCCATGATCCCAGGGATAGTTGGGCCTTTCAGTAAATCAGACTCCTGCAGGTTGTGTGGAGGTTGCTCTGCCTTTCCCCTACTTCTTTCTGTCCCTCCCAGGATCTCTTCCTGCCTTTGTTTTGTTATCTGAAAATAGGACCATGGAGATTTTGCCAGAGACTCATGGAAATCTTACCATCAAATGCATTGCTTTTTGTTGTTACTACTGATTTGTAGAAACCAAATTCTTTTCTGCAAATAGTTGGGAGGCCCCTGACAGCCAGTGCTGATCTCTGACACACTCACTGCCAAGGTTTCCAGCAGCTGGCATGGTAGTGGGGTCATGTTTATATAAATAAGCATTATAGTTTATATTTCCACGAGCTTCACAGGGGTTCCAGTTTTGACGGACTTTCTGAGCTGGAGAGGAGTCACTGCTTGGGAGAGAAGTCCCCAGAGAGAAAACCAGAGATTGCATATCTTTAAAAGGTTGCAGCCCAGTTGGCATCTTTTGGGATACAGGGATTTCTAGCAAAACAGAGTTCTAGTGAAATCTGTTCGAAAGAACTCTGAATTATAACCATTTAGAGGGTAGGTTAAAAAGAAAAGCAGGGTGAGACATCACTGTGGAGACTGCAGAGTGGAATCTGAGTTAATTAATTCAAGCAGGCCTTTGGGGAGGGTGGAATCTTGGTACTGAACGGTCCTGGTCTATTGGCCAGAGGAAGCATCTCTCCATCACAGAGGAGAGGAGGGGGACCAGTACATGATGAGGCTGCAGTTTGTGGTTTACTGAAGCTCAAGAAGGAAATAATTGGCTGAAGGGGAATGTTCTAGAATCAGTTGCATGCTTTTAGTTTCCATACCTTCCTTTTTTGTTTTATCTCTGAACACCTAAAGAGCCCCAGTCTGTAGACCCTCGATTATTTAGAGAGGAAACTATGAACACAAGAACTGTCAAGTAGTGGGATTTATGTTCATAGACTCAGACTGAGAAAAACCATCAGTCTCTGCCTAGGCTGGAGTGAGAGAGGCAGGGTTTCTTGCAGGTGACATAAATCTGCCACCAGATGTCTCTATAGTCCACTCCATGGGAATGCTAACAAGAACCCAGGCTGAGGCCGCTGAAACCTGAGCTTTCCGTTGACCAGGTGGTGCATTCCCTAACTTAATAAATTAAGTAGAAACCACTGCGGGAGAGTGTGTGTGTGTGTGTGTGTGTGTGTGTGTGTGTGTGTCCTTTACTGAGCTGGCTCTGCCTCGTAGGGTTTTCCCTTACTCCCATGGTTATTTATTTTGCCGGATTGATTTCCTTTTGTAAATAGGAGAGAAGCTATAGGATGCTTCCAGAACAGGAGAGTAAACCTTGGCAGGTGCAAGCAAGGGCAGCTGCAGGAAAGGTGTTTTCCTTTCTGGGGGGGCCCTGGCAAAGTTGCACAGCTAGGGGCAGGTAAGGGAGCCACCAATTCCGGGACTCCCAGCTGGTCCTCACCGCAGGACAGGCAGGCCTGGCACTGTGGGTGCTGACCATGGACACTGAACACAGCGGCTTGCCTTACTGCTTCTGTAAGTCAGACTTACAAGCTTTAAAACATTTCAGTGGAAGATTAGCAGACGAGTTAGTTAGGCAAGTTAAAAATATGTCCAGGAGGGCCCTCCCTGGTGGCGCAGCGGGTTAAAGCACAGCACTAAGAAGCTAAAGCCACTTCAGCATGAGTTCGATCCCCACCTAGAGGTGACCCACAGGGTGCATCAGACCTCTCCTGACCCACCCGCTGCTCCCCTCAGCAGTGTACTTTGTCACTCTGTCTGTCTGCTCCCCACTCTGTCTCTGGTGAAGCCTCTCACCGCCCCTGAACCTCTGGCCTGTACCCCAGTTCTGTATGCATAAATAAATAAATCTTTAAAAAATAATATGTCCAGGGAAAGAGAAAACTGATGGTGGATGTGGCTTGTGCCTAATCTTTGAAGTAGGACATTGCGAACCCTCACCCTCACCACCACCAATTTAATCATGAAGACAGAAGTGCAGAAGGATAAGTCTAAGTCAATAGGCTACATTTGCCATCTATGCCACCCCTCCCCACCCCACCAAAAGGCTGGTCTTGTTTGAGGCAGTAACAGTGGCCCCATGCTCCCCATGGGAACTGAGCATTTATCCAGCCCAGGGGTCCCCAGGGGTCCCCGCACGGTGCTGTTCTCTTCTCACTGCCTCATTGAGGGAGGAAGCATGGCCATCCCTTGAGGCCCTGGGGGTCACATAGACACAGGCCCTGAGAGCCCTTCCTGGAAGGCTCATCTGTCACTAAGTGTTGTTTGCTGAGTTGTCTGGCAATGACTGCACAGATTTAGGAACATTTGCAAGGGAAAGGCTGGGATACAAAAATAAGAACCAGAGTGTGGGCGAGTTGGTGTCTGAAGGAAACAAGAGAATATTTAATATAGAACAACCAGCAACACACTGATCCAGAATGATCCATACCCTTCACTACGTCAACAGTGCCAGCACATCACTACAGGGGGGAGGCATTGCAGTACACAGAAGTCTATAATGCTATCCCTATCTTGCTCCAAAAAAGATAGGCCTTAAAGAATTTCCACAGGTTCTCTCTTCCTCCTTCAGAGGTGACACATGTATGCACTATCTTGATTTAACAAATGAGCCGGGGATGGAGTTTACTGGACAAGACGTAGGGCCTTGGGTAGAGGGCCAGAGCTTGCAGCTTCGGTCAGTGACTGCCATTACTGACGTGACATTATTCTTTTCAACAGCTGACGAAGGGCAGTGAAGAGAGGCTTGAGGAAACCCAGAAAGACCTGTACTATCAGTACTCCATGGAGTCCTCTGGCGGGAGGCTGTATTTTCTGAAGATCCGGAACACTACCAACTACCACTCGGGGACATACAAGTGCATGCTGGAGGAACCGGCAGGGCAGAGTCTCCAAAACAGCACTGTGGTCTTGAAGGTGACAGGTGAGGTGGTCTACTGCATTTGTTTTCTTCTTGCACTTTCTATAGGTCTTAAAATTCAGCCTTTAGATCAGAGTCTAACTTGGAAGCTTTCTATCCAATCTATGAGTAAAAGTCAAATTCTACGGCAAAATGTCACAACTTTTTAGTTTTCTTTCTCTATTTCATTTTTTCTTTCCCTTTCCTTCCTCCTCCTCTCTCCCCCTTTGCCTTACCATCCTTCCCTTCTCCCACTCGTGTCTCTTTTTTTTTTCCCAAAGATTTATTTATTTATGCACACAGAACTGGGGTACAGACCAGACGCGTAGGAGCAGTGAGAGGATTTACTAGAGACAGAGTGGGGAGCAGAACAGGCAGACTGACTAAAATACACTGCCGAGGGGAGCAGCGCGTGAGACAGGAGAGGTCTGCTGAGCCATGTGGGTCACCCCGCCAGCAGGGGATCAAACTTATTTTGAAACATAAGTTCGATAGCTTCGTAGTGCTGTGCCACCAGGGAGGGCCCCATCCCACCCATTTCTTTTTAAGTAAGGACAAATCTACCTCCAGCCTGACCAGAGGCTAGCCAAACAATGAATCTGGCTATTGTTCATTCATATAGGTGTTCCTTGGAGCAGATAGGAAGTATCCAAGTCTAATTTTTGGAAGATAGAGAAACTGTGTAGTCTTCAATGCACCAGATAATGATTCCAGTTATTAGATCAGATAATCGGGCATGGCTGCTTTCTGTCCTGGCATCCATGGGAGCTTTGGGTTTGGGAAATAGAGCTACTCCATGTCTCCACTTTGATAGCATGAGAACAACATTCCCCTCCTAACTTCACAGCAGGTTAATTCCCTATACCTCCACTTAGGCTAAAAGAAGGGATGCAGCAAGAAACTTCACTCCATGCAATGACACCAGGAGTTGAGTAGGAAGGCAAAGATCAACTCCCTGAACTTTCCCCCCATCCCTTTTCTTTGGGTGGCTAAAATATGCTTTGCATTTGAGGTCAGCCCAACTGTGAGCAGAGTGAGAACTGAAATGCTGTCATCGGGTCCCCAGTCCTGTTCGCTAGCTTCTTTTTCCTCTTGCCTGGTGTCTGAAAGGATTCTGACTCCAGATGACATTCTCCTACTCACAAGGGCACGTGGGTGCTCAGGGCGGCGTTGGGCGTGGCTCACAAACCCGTCCACCTGTCAGCTCTTGCTCTTGGTGCTGTGTCATCTGTCTTGGTAATCCTGTTTAGCTCCCCACTCTGTCTCTGGTGAACCCTCTGCCTCACCTGATGTGACACTCGTATTCTGCTGTTCACTGGCTCTGCATGCGTTCCATGGCTGTCTTTCACATAGATGAGGAATGAGAGCAGCCTGGCCCGGCCTGTGGGGAGTGGAGAGAAATGAACAGAGAACAGCTCATTCCCTATCCTTCCTTCCCAGCAAGGTAGACAGACTCACAGAGATCTGGTTCACATATCAGCTCCGCTGCTTGTTAGCGTGTGACATTGGGCAAATCACCCAGCACTGCTAAGCCTTAGTTTTCTCATCTCAGAAATGGGCCATCTCACAAATGGTTTCTATGATGGAGGTTCGTCATGTGCTGAGGTGCTGAGCACTGTGCTCCTATGGCCCGAGCCTGTGCACATTGGCAGGGGTGTCAGGATAGTGGTTCTCAACTCTGCTCTTCTTGAGTTCCAGATCCCTGTGAAAGCCCATCCCTAGATTTTTACACAAAATTTTCGGGGATCAACAGCTCTCGTGAATCCCCTCTGTAGCCCCTGGGAGGGAGCCCCTCATTTTTCTGTACTCTACCTGCTTCTACCGGGCCTTCAGGAGAACAGTGTGGCCCTCACAGGCAGCATGACGGCCTCCCTCCTGAGTATGTCTCACGTAATGACAGAGTAAAAGGCAGGAAATACCCAGTGTCTGAAATGGAGGCAGGTGGGCTGAGGGCGATCTGGGCCAGCCCGTGGGCTCAGCACCCGCCGAAGTCCCTCAGCTTGTCTAGCCTCCAGTCCATCTGCATAGTGGGTGGTCAGGCTCGTCTCTGACAATTTGGCACACTACTGCACATGTCACTGTGTCCCCACACAGATAGGAGACGACACTGGAGCTAAGTGGGACTCAGCAAAACCAGGGCATGTAAGCTTGTTATGGTGGAAAGTTCTTGTTAAATGGCTTCAGACTCTACTTATTTGTTTTTAAAGGATGCCGTGAAGAAGACAGTTTTAGTAAATACGGAGCTGACATTGTGCTGCTGTTGGTGCTGGTCATTTTCTATACAACACTCATCATTTTCACTTGGGTAAGTATCTTTTAAAATGTCTTTTATTAGTAGAAGATTCCCTGGGGCACCCGTTTAAAATTGTTTAGTGGATAGTGTGAATCATTTCACAATGGTAAGGTGTTATTCTTGAAACGCTGGACTTGGGGTGCACTCCCGGCACACCCCTGACCCTGGGAGTGTCAGGGCTCACATCTGTGGCTGCACAGAGCTGAGAAAGGGAAAATGAAGGAAGATAGGGGAGGGAGTTTAATGCCAAGGACCATGTAAAACACCCAGAGGCCCTTGTAGTTTCAGGGGTACAAAGTGCAACTACCACTAACATTCCCCATTTTGGCAAAAACATCTCTTTCCTGTGGGCCAATGAGCAAACCCCCCACTGCCACAACAGTCTCCTTCTTCTGTCATGAACTTTTTTTTTTTTAAAGATTTATTTATTGATTTATGCATACAGAGCTGAGGCCAGAGGAACAGGGCACTGACAGTATTCACTGGAGCAGAACAGGCAGGTCGACAGAATACACCGCTGAGGGGAGCAGCGGGGAGACAGGAGAGGTCTGCTGCGCCATGTGGGTCACCTCTGGGGCCAGGGATCGAACTCACACTGAAGCAGTGAGGCTACCTTACAGTGCTGCACAACCCGCTGCGCCACCAGGGAGGGCCCTGAACTGTTTTCTCTTAGGGATTTTCTCCTCCTGGTTTTGGCACTTTCTTGCATTCCTTAAGAACTAGCCTCGGCCTTCCCTGGTGGTGCAGTGGGTTAAAGCACAGCACTGAGAAGTTAAAGCCACTTCCACATGAGTTCGATTCCCACCTGCCCCAGAGGTGACCACATGGCGTGGCAGACCTCTCCTGACCCGCCTGCTGCTCCCCTCAGCAGTGTACTTCCTCGACCTGCCTGTTCTGCTCCTCACTCTGTCTCTGGTGGCTCTCCCACCCTCCACATCTCTGGCCTGTACCCCAGTTCTGAGAGCAGTGGGGTGCACAGGGGTTGTCCTGGAGTATGGGATAACTAGCTGGTACTTGGGTTCCTTAAAATACCCTTGAGTTACTGGTTGAAGGCTTCAGCTTAAGCTCCTTGAGCCTTTCTGCATGATTCTCACCGTGGCTGACCAAGGTCATGTGGGACCCACTGAGAAGTGATCTGTCCCCTCTTTCCCAATATCATCATAATCTCACTTAGGGACTAGGAGCCCTCCCAGGGCTAGAGTGAGTCACTTGCAGTCCCCCTCTGTTCATTTACTTGCTTCCCTGGCTAAGCACTCATCTCCCTGTACTCCTTTATGCTAGGCATGGTAAGGGATATAAAAAGGTTTAAGACTGTGTACCTGCTCCTAAGGAACTTGCAGTCTGGTCATTAGAGGTATTTGCATATAAGATAATAATGACAATTGCTGGACAATAAATCTTTAAAAAAAGTGACTTCAGTTTTTTGTTGGCAAAGAGCTATTTCTAGGGGCACTGATTTTCATAGTAAGGCCTTGAGATGACCCCAGTTCATTTCAGTGAATCTCCTGGTTGAAGTTAGGCCAGATGAGTGAGATAGCCAATATAACCAAAACTTCCAGAATGAGCTGTGCAGTCAACTCATAGTGAATGGAATTTAATTCAAGGTAACGACTGCTCCATTTTTTGCCCATTATTCAATTGTCAATTTTTATTTTATTTTTCAGAAGTTTGCACGGCATCAGAACATATTTCCAGAGTTTTTAAAATCTGGCATGGAATCAGCTTTTCTCTTAGTTACTTCCCCCTCCCCCCCAAAGCCTTTGGAACTGATGACTGTCAAGACAGAACCAGTATGAGCAGGATTTCTGCAGGACTCAAAGGTTCAGTGCTGTGCCTGTATCACACCAGGCCTGAGAACGAGCCCCATGATGAAAAATGGCATCCTTCCTGTGAAGTCCTTCACCAACTGGAATGCTCAGAAGTGAACTCCATCCCACTTTTTGTGGATAGGACTTTGAAAACCATTACGGAACCACATAGCCTAGAATCACCTGTAGGTGCTCTCTGTGGGGCTGCTGATAACTTGCTCAGACTTTTATTCAGCCATCTGGTCAACCTCTTGGAAGCATTTTTCAGTCAGATAAAAGTTAGAGTGAGATTCACTTGGAACAGGGTCTTAGGAAATATGAACGCCCAGAGCTGGCCTCAGGACAGACTCTTGAGGACAGTTGTCTTCTTTCACATATGGAAAACATATCATTGAATGTGCTATGTTTTCTTGTAATTGCCCAGATGTTTTAAGTCTGGGAGAAATTAACAGGCCAAGCTGTGAGACAGTGGGAAATATTTAGCAAATAATTTCCTGGTGTAAAGGCCCTGTTATTACTAAGGAGTATTATGTGTACATAGAAATAACAGGTCAATGAACTGTTCCTCAACAGGGCCTTTTCATCTGGGAAAGACATCCATAAAGGAGCAATAAAGAAGAGTGCCACATTTATTTTTATATCTACGTATACTGTCAAAGAAGAATGTGTGTGTTTTCTCCTTTTGAAATCTGTATCAACAGGTAGAGATCTCTACTAACTGACATGCAAGCTGACTATGGAGAGAAGAGAGAGTGACAGCAGAATGAAGAGCAGGGAGTTACTCAGTGAAGTACTGGGTCAGCCATGAGATCTAGCCAGCTGTTCCACTAAACTGGCTGTGTGACTTAGAGCAAGTTCCTTATGATTTCTACTTTCTGAGTTGTGAAATGAAAGGTTTTTGTGTGACTTGTTTGAAATAATGTATGTATAAATAATGCTTTGAAAAAGTATAAAGCACTATACAGAACTCATGTGCATTATTATCTTTATTTTCACTGTCTATCTGGTTAGTGTTTTCTTTGGCTGTCTGGTCAACCTACTGGACATTTTTTCAGTGATAGAAAAGCTATGGTGAGAGACATCATTGGAAAAGGTGTTCTGAGCATAAGAGAATGCTTTTCATTTTCCATGTTTTCATTTATTCTAACCAGAGAAAGCTACAAAGAAAAATTTTCTCATTTTTTTTTTAAAGATTTATGTATTTATGCATACTGAACTGGGGTACAGGCCAGAGGTGCAGGGATGGTGAGAAGATTCACCTGAGACAGAGTGGGGAGCAGAGTAGGCAGATTGATGAAGTACACTGGAGTAGCAGGTGAGACAGGAGATGTCTGCTGAGTCATGTGGGTCACCTCTGGGGCCAGGGATCAAGCTCGAACTGAAGTAGCTGCAGCTAGCTTGTGGTGATGCATCCTAACCTGTTGTGCCAGGTTAGGATTGTTTTCTATTTTAATTTCTTCAGAGAAATAAGGCAGCTGGTACCATGATCTGTTCTTCCATCACCAGCCAAGGGTACCTCAAGATAGGGAAACACAAGAGCCACTGGGCTGTGGGGAAAAGGAGTTTACAAAATGTTACATTGATGTCTGGGCAATTGTTGAGATTTTCTTATCAAACTTGGCCCTTCCCTACATGTTTTTGAATGAGATTTTATCCCTTTAGCATACATTGTTCACTAGAGATTAAAAGGAATGCCAAGTAGATTGTTTTTCCTTCTTTATCATAGCTTTCATGCGATTAAATATATGCCTGTAAATAGGAAATATTTCTCTTTTCTAAAATACTGTATTGATTACATCATCTTTCATTTTTGTACAATGTATGACTTCCCCATGACATTCCCACTACCAATTCACAATGTTTTATATCTAAAAATAGACATAAAACATTAGTCAAAAGGCTAAGATAGTTATTCACCAGTTTGAGAACTAGAAACCTAGATGAAATTCTAGAGGTGAAAGATTGAGTCCTTTCTTAAGTCCTTTCTCTCAATGCTCCTGAGCTTATTCTCCTGAGTTGCATTGTCACAGGTGTACCTGCAGGTAGCCCTCATGCACAACCACAGGGAAGGGTGGAAAGAAGGAGATTGTCTACTACAGAGGAATGTACCTGCGGTTTTACTCAAGATCCTCAAATAGGTCCATTAGCCCTTGATAAGATGATAACAGCAAGCTAATAAAAGTGCTCATACATATATATATGTATGTATATATATATAAACACACACACATATAAGCATAGTATATTTAAAACTACTCATAAAACTTACCTGTTGGTCGATCTATAGCTATGTATCTACACAGATCACAGTTGAATCTGCTTAGGAAAATGGTTCTTTGTAAAGATAAATGTGCATAAAATATCTGTAGAAGTTATAGATTCCCTTTCAATGGAATGAACTTCGTTCTCCAATGCTTTACTAAGAAATCTGGGAAGGCAGTTTGGCATGGTAATAAGAGCTCAGGCAGTGCTAACTGAGCCAGCTTTTGAAACCCATCTTCACTTGGAAGTTTAGCTTCTAAGAGGGCACAAGGGCCTCCCTCTGTAAGCCGTAGCTGGCAGGTCTTTAGGATAGGGCTAAGAATTCAATCTGCCTAACAGGTTTGTTATGAGGATTAAATGAGATAATATATCTAAGAGCTGATCTCAGATATGACCAGTAGTAAGCTGTGCACTAACATTAAAGTAGACAGAAGAAAAAGGCAGCAAAGAAAATGACAGCAACCATGAAGCTTTTGTTAAAAGGAATGAAGTAATTTTGTTAATAGGAGTGGATTGACTTGGTAGGGGAATCACGTTGCTTTCACAGGATTAATGCATGATGAAGCTAAGTCCCTATGGTCATCAGTTTGAATTGACTTAAGCAAAAAATATGATGAAAATTTGAGGTCAGGTAGACTAACACTGCATACCTAGTCTTTGATATAAGCAAATGCTGTGTGTGTGTGTGTGTG